AAAAAAAAAAAAAACCCTCCAGGAATTGATGGGATACCCACTGAGATGTTTCAACAAACAGATACACTGGAAGCATCAATTCACTCATTTATGCAAAAAAAAAAAAATTTGGAAGACAGTTACCTGGCCAACTGACTGCAAGAGGTCCATATGTGCCCATTCCAAAGAAAGGTGATGAAACAGAATGTGGGAATTATAGAACAATACCATTAATATCACACACAGTAGAATTTGGCTGAAGATAATTGAAAAATAGTTGTAGCTATATATTGACAGGGAACTTCCAGAAATTTGAGCAGGATCCAGAACAAGGGATATCATTGCTGATGTCGCATAGATCTTGGTGGAAAGCAAAGAATACCAGACAGATGCTTTCTTGTGTTTATTGGCTATTCAAGGATATTTGGCTGTGTGGCTCATAACAAATTATGGATGAAATTATGAAGAATGTAATTCCAGAACACTTCATTGTGCTCACAAGGAACCAGTACATAGACCAGGAGGCTGCTGTTCAAATACACGGGGACACTGCATGGTTTAAAATCAGGAAAGGAGTTTTCAAGGTTGTATCCTTTCACTGTACTTATTCAATCTATTTGCTGAGCAAATGGTCCAAGAGGCTGGACTATTTGAAGAAGAACATGGCATCAGGATTGGAGGAAGATTCGTTAACAACCTGTGACATGAAGATGACACAGCTTTGCTTGCTGAAAGTGAGAATGATTTGAAGCACTTACTGATGAAGATCAAAGATTACAGTCTTTGGTATGGATTATACCACAACATAAAGAAAGCAAAGACCCTCACAACTGGACCAATAAGCAACATCACAATCGATGAAAATATTGAAGTTGTTAGGGATATCATTTTACTTGGAGCCACAATCAACACCCATTGTTTTGGTTACCTAGTGGGAGCTCTGGTAGCGTAGTGCCTAAAGCACTTGACTGCTAACCAGAAGGCTGCCAGTTCAAACACACCAGCCACTCCTCAGAAGGAAGGTTGGGCAATCTACTTCCATAATGATACTGCCTCGGAAACCCAAGGAGGGGTCGCTATGAGTCGGGGCCAACT